ATCCCATGCATTTTTTGTTGCGAAAACACCGAATTGCAGCTTGAATGTGTTGAAGCTCGTGATACCATCGAACGTGGGAGTCAGTTTGGCGGTTCCGTCATTAATTTGTAGGTTAGCGATTCCTTGCTTCAAAGCTTTCATTTCATCGCGTCTGCGTCTTCCTCCCTTTTTGCTCTAACACCAACCTTTCCTTAAGCATGTTTACTTTTTCTTTAAACTTCTGATGTGCCTCGTCCATGTGTTGCTTTAGAGAGCCTTAACTTTCCTGAAGTTTGTCAATTTTTGATCCTGTGTGCTGTTATTGTTGTTCGATATTTTCGTCGCTTCATCAATTTTTAAAGTTTTTCCTTGTTTCATTTGTTCGTACCCTGCTTGTATGTGTTGCTGATCTGCTTGTTTTGCTTGCATAATAACTGCAAGTGATATAGTTGTACCGTTCCCACTTTTTGCTACGTCATGCTTCTCGTGCGTTGTAGCCGTACCCTCTGTTTCTTCGCCACAACTATATTTGAACTCATATACTGCTACCGCTGCTCACATGTCCTTTGTTTTAATTCAATTGTGATACCGTCCTTTCTCTCAGCTCCTAATTGAGCTGTTACACAGTTAGATCTCCCAATTGTCACCGACTTGTCAATTACAATCACTTTCCGCTAATATTCTACTTACATAGGCTTTTGCAGGCAAGCTATCATTACCTAAACTCATATCTACGTGATTTTATTCGTTCATCCGTTTTTCCCCACCGTTCTGCCAATTGTTGTCAATCTTTTCGTAAGTCGCCTGCTGCATGACCCAGGTAACGCGCCAGAAATGTGTACATGGTTTTGTATGTTCCTTAGAATACTCTTTTTTAGAAAATCGACTATTTTTCATAAAAGCTATATTATATATGGTGTTTTCGTAACAATATATTCAGACCTATGAACGATTAGTAACTGCTGTCACGGTGTTAATTTGATGATAAAATAAATATATATTATTAAGGAAGGCAAACCACGCGAAAGTAGTAACGCGGTTGTGGTAGAAGGCTGACACTGCTTTCGAAGACAAGGCAAGTTCGACTCCTCGCGAGGTCGCGAGTGGCTCATTTTTTATTTGTTCATTTTTTTGAATAATTTAATGAAAATTTACAACATACTTACATATAAATGCAGAAAAATTGTAAATTTAGAAATGCATGCACCTTATGGTGGAAGTTACATTCAATCAACTAGTAAGCATAAAAATTATAGATTTTCAATATGAATTGTGTAAAGAGTTCCCATCTTCTAGCGTGACTGTTTTTTTCTTTCTGTGTGGTCTTACAAATAACGGCGTGAACTTAGTTCACTGCATTAGCCCACATTTTTGTCTTTGCTAAAACGTGTGCACACTTGGTTCGCGCCTCTGCTAAGTTCCACCTGAAAGGATGTTCGATATTAGTGCACACACACACACATATTTTCAATAACATACATTCTATTTGCCTATAAAACGTTTTGAATAAAATTGTACGCGATTCATATTTAGAAAAACGGCGACAACTCAATGACATGAATGTAACTTCTTAAGCAAGTGCATGGACAAACGTGCTAGCACACCCACGTATAGTTTTTTTCAATATATTCTACTAAGGTGTAAGCTTAAACGTACATGTTGAAAACCATTATGTGCATAAAATCCAACACTTCATTCGCAAACAAAACAGAAATATAAAGTACATAAGATCGAACATTTAATTAACAACATTCATTAGCAACATTCTTGCAATATTTGGCATTTAGCGTCTGGTGTGTATGGCAGGGTTTTGGCGAGCTTAGTGGTGATGGACTGTGAACAGCGCAATGAAATTAGATTTTTCTGATATGTCGGGATCCGCTGTGCTATAAACGGTTTTACTTCAACGTCTCTTATTGACTTACTCCGTTGACTCCGTTAACATTTGACTTTATTGAGGGCGCTAAAGCTACAGCGCATTGACGCTGGATAACTTGAGCGCTAATTATTATTATTATAATTTCAATTTTAATACAAATTACGACAAATTGAAATACATCTTCCCAACCAAAGGACCAAAGGCAAAAGTAATTAAATTTTGGTCCTTACTTTCTGATTATTATTGATTTGTTGTTGTAGGCGCAAAATTGCATTATTTGGTTAATAAACCTTTCCCTTCAAGCGGCCTTAGCTAATTACTGTCCACTTGGCTGGTCCCATCGGCGTATATAGCATAAAAAATCCTCTTAATTTCGCCTAAACAGCTCCAAACAGTGCTCTGAATGATCAACACATCGTTACCAAAAGTAAGCAAACCCGGCAACCAATCCGAAGATTGCTTTCTAATGTACAAATCTTCGTGCAAATAGAAAATTTATCGTCTTCTGATGTCTTTAAACTATCGGCTATATCCCACAACTTCTGTGTTCAGTTTCCAAAACGATTTTTTCCAATGCTATGAAAATTACTAGAGGACGATCACTAACATAGCGGTAACTTGTAAGATAATGTGGTATAATGTTATGAAATTTTGGTACAATTAGTTTGAAGGAACCCTTGTGTTCTTCAGATATCATGCAGGTCTGTCAACATTGTTGTCATATGTTTGTCGGACAGCAGCCTTATTCAGTGATGTGCGATGTGCCAGAGAAAGTTTGACAGGAGATGGGATTAAATTGGATCGACATCGCTTAAAAGTGTTTAATCTAAAGCAGGTAGTGTTTACTTACATCTTTGGATATTTACAAACAAAAACACAATTCGCATTAATTAATGACTACAATAGATTAAGGCTAAGCTTGAAATTAAGGAGAAAAATTTTCCAAGAAAATATGTTATGTGGAATATGAGTTGCACTGGTTTAGTTTAGTAAGAGAAAAAATTCTTATAAAATACAGCTCTTGGCTATACATGTGTTCCATCAATATACCCAAGATCCTAAACGTATAGAGTTTTCATTGAATATTTATAAGCTTTACAAACATTTGACATGTTTAGTATGTTTCCTCTTATATATATAACGAGAACTTTTAAATATGTTCTAAATTATCCAGTTTTAAATGTGACAATTATTTTACTCTATTTCTTATCGAAGCTTGGTTGTTTTTTTTTATTTTTTTTTAGTTTAGACTAAAAGGCGTCTATAAAGTCATTAGGCATGTTACAAGAACTCAAACATGGGAGAGAAAATGAGATTGCTACGAAACAAGCAGGATTTGCCAATAATGTCATCAATGATAATTCAAAATATGAAAAGAAAAAACTTTATTAAAGTTAGTTCAGCTCTAAATTGTGTTAAGCTAATAAAAACGACAATGAAAAATGGCTACATAGATATTAAAAAGGAAAGAATGCAAAAGAAAAGAAGAAAAACATTTTATATATTTTAAGGAATATAATATTAAGTCGTTTAAATAACCTCACGTTTTACCACTGGTTTACACCACGAGAATATCTACTTAAAAATCTTATTTATTAAATGTAAAAATGCCGACCAGGCACGTTGATAACACAAATAATAACAGCGAAAAGAGCAAGAAAAAAAATAAATAAAGACGAAACTGAAAAAGCAAGCGTCGTATAATGGAATTTACAATTCAATCACTTGATAGTAACAATAAGCTCAGTGGTATGCGGTGGCTTGCTTATAATTTCTTTTCCTCCTTTTCCACCTAGCTATGTGGAAAATATGTACAAATCAACTGTCAGTTCAAGTAATGAACGTGCTGGAATGCTTCGATTTTTTAAGAGAAGGACACAAGGACGCAAGCGATTGATAAAGTGATGAGAGAAATGGCGACATAAAAACGTAATAATATTAAAAAAAATTTCAAACTCAGTCAATATGTATCACCACAAGATAAATAGATAAACAAATTTTCTTTGTAGTTGCCTGGCATTCTGATTTCTACAGGAATACATTGAAAAGCTTTAAAAATATCATACAATGCTTAAATTTCATTATGTTGTGTTGCATTTTATTTTATTTAATTTTTCTTTTCTATGCTTCGAATATTTTATTTTATTTTTTATTATTTATTTATTAATTTTTTTTTTTTTTTGATACTCTGCTTTCTTTTCTTTAGAAAAACAAATCATTATATTATTTAGCTTGGACAAAAACAGTAATAAACACAATTTGTCCTATTCAAGTATAACACAATCGGAATTTCGTTAAGAGATAACAACTCTGTGTGTAGAAGAAGCGTGGTGTACAAAAGTAAAGAAGCAACACACACACACACTTATCTCACAAGTTAGCCTGTTGAGCATATCCATTTATTATTTACATTAAACAGCTGATGTTTGCCGGCATTCGATTACGTCCTTACCTCTCAGATTACTCTTAATATCTTCAATGACTGTTTCTGACTAACTCTCTTAATTTTTAAGAAAGAGAATTTTATATAACCATTTCATCATTTAAGTTGAATCTGTTTTAATTGTAAATGGTTTCTCTTAATACGTTAGCACTTAAGAGAAGCGTTAGGGAATTTGCGGCATTGTTATTATAAAGTTTACTCATGAAAAAGACAGAAAAAGAAGAGAGAGAATCATTACCTCTTATCAATTGGCTTATACGAATATATATTTAAACATTTGGGGGTTAATCACAATTAAAAGTTTTGCTTTCGCCTTTGTATTCAGCTGTTTGGCAAAAACGTTCAGCTACGCGACTGCCCTCCTGATTTGTAGGATTTTAAGTTAGTCTCTTAGTCTCTTCAAAGAATTCAAAGGATTCAAAGGATAAGGATGTGCAAATTTCTTTTCGCGAGAGCTTGTGCGAAGTAATACACGTAATATACGCAACACTATTAAAACTGTTAACATAATATTACCAATAAATGATTTTACATACGATTCCAAGTATTCGTTATAACGATTTTTTTTCTAGAACTCGATTAAGGAATGGTTTCTGTCCGACTTTACATAAGTTTATGCCTGCGTATCGGATTAAAAAACAAAACGCAGCGTAATTTAATAAAAGTGTAATACTTGCGTGTACGTTCGATGATATACTATGAAATATGTTATTTATTTAAATGGCAATTAATTAATTAATAATAAATAAAACGCACACCTCTTGCTGTTCAGAAGGTTATTTGTGTTTGTTTACCGCGCTGCTTGACATAGGAAGAAAGTATAAATTTTGCAAAAAAATATGTGTTTTGATGAAGTATTTCTCGCAGTGATATAAACGTCTCCTAAGTTGGTTTACCCTCGTTTATATATATATATATATATATATGTATTGTACCTAAAGCGATTTAATCCTGTGTGCTTGGTGGTTTTTATTTCGTGCTCTGTGTCAGTATGTTAAAAATAATTGCGTTAAAAAAAAAGAAATCAAGTCACGTGCAAAAAAATCTAATTATGATTTAAATAAATTTAAAAAAAAGGAAACATTTTTTTCTCCAAAAAATCTACTTTTATTTTGGGCAGACACTTTCATTAGCATTTAATTTCAATGGACGGAAACTATGCGCGAAAACATAGTTAGTAAAAGGAATGTTTTTGGGAAATAGTTTAAAAAGTGAAAGATATCTGAAAATAATTAGCCTCTGAAAGAAAAGCTGATTGTATGAAAATTTACTGGAATCTACTGTACAAACGAAGAAGTAAGCTTAACATGAATCATGAATACCCTAACCTTAATACATTTTATATAATAATGAGACAATCTTTTATGATTTGTGGCCCAGTTACTGGAGTGGAACACATTGCATTGTATGGCGGACAATAATATCACAACGGCCGAAGATGTGATTAAAATAATTTAGTAAATAATTCTGAAGTACTTACTAAGCTTAACGATGTAGCTTATATCAAATACACAATAAGTAAGAAAAAATCTCTTTAAGTGAATAAAATTCGAGGGAGTGTTTTAGATTCGCTGAAAAAAAAAATTATTACCACAATTTGCCGACAAAAGATAAACACGGAGACCTTAGGGAAGTATTTAATCATTTTGACCAAATTGCATCCGTTTATACCAATGAAAAGTTTGATGAAAGAGAAGATATTTTGATTCAATTTTGCTCGTTCCCTCTCTTCTTTTGCACATTAGTTTTTCCCATAACTGCCTTCTTTAGAAAGCTTTGCATAGAATGTAGAAGAAGATAAATTTGGTTCAACACATTTGGATCAAGTTTCTCTTAAATGTACGTGCAATTTTAAGCAAATTGCGAAAAGAAAAAAATGCGAAAAAAGAAATTTTAGGTGATATTAATAAAACTTTATATTCGTCAAGCCAACATTTGCGCTAAAGTTAAAGTTGGTCCGAGTTGCTTTCTTTAAACAATTACGATGGGTAACGGCATAAGAAACTCAAATGATGAACATAACCATTACTCTTTCTGTATTGACCACATAAAGTACAGTAAGTAAACGTGCCTTCCTATGAAGTTTATTTTACTCATCAAAAAGCAATAGTTCAGAAAGGTTTGTCTTTAATTGTCTGCACGAAAACTTCAAAAATTTGCTGAGTAAGAACCCAATTAAGACCATCTGAAATTCCGTACAACAGGAATAGAAACGTAAATTTTTACCATTTCCTTTAGTTTCTTGTGTTTACTGCAGCTTCTTTTTTTGCATCTTTTGAATCTTCACGATTCCTCGAGTAAAAAATGATTGTTGAACGCGAAATGGAAGTCCGGTAAACAAAAAAGAGGAGAGTGAGCAAAGAAGTAAGTCTGGTAATTTTAATTTAAAAATTCCATTTTGGTATTTAATTTTTCCTTATAAAAACACTGGGCCATTATCAAAGTTAGGAAAATCCATCTTAGCTTTCGTCTATAGGGCGACATGCATAAATAAAATCTGCATCGTTCAATCGGTGAGTGATACAATTGGATTTATAATTTAACGTCTAGTCAGATTGTATTTTTCGGTGCTATTTATCGTCATCCTTCAGCCAGGGTGGAGCGAAGCGTGAGAAGTATTTAATTCTATTCCCATTAATTATAATATAGTGTGACATTTGAGGAAATCACGCAAGGTCCTTTGCAGGGCGCAAATTTCGACTGGCATGACATTTTTCTTAGCGTTTACCGCTTCATGATCACTCATGAAGCCCGCCAACAAGACGCACATTCATAATCGGAAATTTGTCTCGTCTATCGAGAATTTTCGGTAAAAGTTTTAATAGGATTCAAGACCATTACTATAACTGTAGTTTGCAGAAATTTTAAGAAACCAATCGGTGAGATATGTAATGTAATAATCAGAATTTATTGGAAACTTGTCAAGTTTATAATATATATGAATTGATTAATATCGAAGAAATAGGCAATTTCTCATTTTCTTTGGTTTTGAAAGTAAGAATTATTTGCAAATGACTTATGTCTATTTGCGCAATAGCTAAATAGGTCTATATATACTTTTCCTGTCTTTCTTGATGGCTGTGTCATGAGGCTTGACTTTTATTGCTAGAAGTAACGAGTAGTAGAATATAAGTGGAGGGGAAAAGAAGTATCACGTTGCATACTTCTATTATAGTTTTTGGAGATATGAGTTATATTGTGTATTGTGTATGAATAAATGGTTGTAATTACACTTTTGCACTTTAACCTTCAGCGACGATCCTAACATATGAAACCGATCCAACCGAATTTTTCATACCTGTCACTTTGATCTTCAAAATGACGATTCGAACAAAGTCAAGGAAAGGAATAAAATTTTAGTGATATTAAGTGGGCATGGTCGTTTTTTTGTACTTTTGTAATGGTGATGGAGGATTATTTTAAGGAGTACAAAATTATTTTTCCTTTTGAAACAAAGTGTTCCCAGCTTACGTTGCGCTAAGGGCGTGTCTTCTGATCAATTCGGCTCGTTTTCAGCACCAATCTGACTGCAAGAACTTTCAATGTTTTTGCGGAACTTTGAAGTTAATACCATTATTTTTGCGATTAGGAAAATGGGCAATGACTGCCACTATATAGAAGGACAGACGGAGGAGAGAATATATATACATAAAGGGTCACTAAAGCGTTCTTTTGGACGCCGCAAACGTTTTGACAAAATGATTATACCTCAATGCTTCAGTGATGGGCAAAACTATAGTAATGTCGTTAATATTTGACATATAAGTTTGTATATTTTCTGGAATATTATTTTTGAAATTTAGGTGGTAGCTTTATCATATGTGTTATAATAGCTGCGGTTTTATAGTAGTTGAGTAGGAAGGGTTCTTGGGCCGATATCATTAATTTTCGCACTTGATGTCTTAACTTCAAATCTTCAAATATTTTAAGAAATACAAAACTGCAAATATTATCTTCCCTTTTCTTTTTTTTTTTTTTTTTTGTTGTCACAATTGGCTAATCTAGAAACGATTTATTCTATGGAAAAAATTGAAATCCCTGGTTATTCTTCTAGACAAAATCTTGAAATAGTAAGAGACGAACGATAAAATGTGTTTAACACTTTCCTTCACTTACCTTTCCCAAAATTTTTATGAGACTTTAGAAACAAATTCGTAGTTGGTACAAAAGCTATGGAGCAGGCCAGATGCCCGCATACTATTAATGCTTATGTAAGAGATTAAAACGATACTTCTCAGTTTCAGTCCACCATATACACAGTTCGCCTAAGAAAGTCTATCTCGCCTCATTTTAAGGTTATTCCTAAGTTTTCGGAGAAAGATTATCAAACAGTATTCTCCCCTATTGCGATGGAAACAATTTCACATTATTTGTCTCGTTTTGATTTTCTATTTTTATCTTACTCTTCTTTCATTTCACTTGGTTTTAAAATTCTAATCCACTTATTTCATTTTATATTGAATATTTACTATCCAACGAAAACGCACCACATAATAAATAATACGTTAATATCTGAATTAACAAATCCATCATTTAATAAGCTTTGAACCGGTGCGTTAAGATCTGCTACTACTACCACTACTGCTACTGTTATACATACATAAATGAAAATAAAAAAAAATAATAATAAAGAAAAAGCCTGATTATGAACAGGAAAGAATGAAAATAAACATAAAGGAAAATAAAAAAGTCCATCCGATTGCAAAACACTACAATAGAAGGAAAATGTTCAATGTTTAGTTAAAACAAATGAATTCTTGAACGCACTTTTAAATAATTTCTATATAAAGATCGTTTTCAAGGTCTGATTTCTAGGTTGAAGAATATAACCTAAATTTTTGTAATTTCCTAAATATTTTCTAAATGTTTTATTGAAACAACCCTTTAACTCGATAGTGTCTAGGAAGCTATGTACTCCTTCAAACCGGATGACATTTAATGCCAGTTTTTACTATAATACTGTTTACTTTGCACTAAGCAAATGGATGTGTAACAGGAGTATGGTAAACAGGAGCATAAAAAAAAAATTGTACATTTACTTTGCACACCTATTCTCTATACATGTAAATATATATATATATATATGTATACATACATAAGAAGATAGGAGCAAATATGCTAACCAAATAAAGATTAATGTGGTATATATTTACAGAGTAAATTATTTCGCCTAACAGTTCTAAATAAATATTCGAAAGATAAAATGAAAACAAAAATGATGCAATTTTACTGAATAACACGATAACAGCAAACGTGCAGATAGTCTGACATATGCAACAACATTTAAATGGGCTTAGTCTCTTCTGACACCTTTTTTTGCCAATGGCTACGAATTGATACGAATCGTTTTCGTCATGTTAATTTGCGCTATAATTCATCAATCCTTTTATACCTCTAATACGTCTTTTCTTTCAGAAGTTTGCAAAAGTCTAAAATATTAAAACTTTAGAGATATTAGGTAGTTGGTAGTTGTCTTTAATAGTTAACTATGAATTTGGCTTCACCGTCTTCTTAACTTTTCACTGCTTTATGTATTCAGAATAATTCATAGCTATGAGAGCTCTCTCTCTCTCTCTCTCTCTCTCTCTCTCTCTCTATCTCTCTCTCTCTCTCTAATTAAAAATGAAAATCGGTTAAAAGGTACGTAATTACTTTCTCGATGTTTTAGGAGCATTAAAATGCATAACTCAAATTTGAAAAAAAGGGTTATTGCTTTTAATTAACGTACACAACTTCAAAGGTAATTTCATCGCTTTTCAATTAAAGCCAGAAATATTTAGTGTGAATTTTTTTTAATAGAGCAAAAATATTAACGATTGTTAAATTAGAAGCCAAACAAACTTAGTCAACTTTGTCTTCTTAAGAAGTCATGGGGCCAATGCGACGCTTCTTTTATATTTTGAAGCGTTTTTCCTTACTAAAATATACGTCAAACTTTCTTTCTTGGAGGTTTGCAAACGAAGAGCACTCGTTTGCAAAAAAAGAGCACTCGTTGGGCCCCAAATCGGAAAGATATATGGATAAGGAAGTAATTCGAATTGGTACATCTGAACAACATAATTCATAGATCAAACTTTCATGCAAAATAATGCACACACTCTTTCTTTCTTTCTCTGTTTCTTATATTTTGAGAAAGCCAGCTATCTCTCCTACTTCACTCTTCCATTATGAGGAATGATTTGCAGATTTTATTTCTAAGTAACCACCTCTGCTGTGCCTCTTTACCATTTTGTTTTTAGTCGGCCGATCATTAATAAACTGTTGTTGTCGAAGTTTCTTTAAACAAAAGAAACTTTTAGTGTTTCTCTGGCCCATTATCATCTGATAAATTTTTCTATACATTCTAATTGAAAGATATCTGAATGCAAAATATCGCCTACCAGCTTTTTTTAGTATATTACTAAGGTTAAAAAATTTTGCTTATGAATAATAAATCGGGATAAAAATCTAAAAAAAGCGTAAACACTTCAAAAGTCTACTAAATCAATGAACAACACTTGAAAACAAAAAGTTGCATTTTTTAAGAAAAAGAAAATAAAGAAAACCAGATGCTTAAAAATAAATCCCAGACCATAAACAAAACTTGTGGCTGAAGAAAAAATTATAAGTAGAAAATTTTAAATAATTGAAGTCATTCGTGGAAATATAAGAAATTTTTTCTTCAACTCTTCGTTGCTGAATTTATTATTATTTTTTTTTTATTTACTTTGCAGAGGTAAATATTGAGGTTGAAATGGAAAGAAAGAATTAAAAAAAAAAGGAATCCTTTACGGCGGACTTTAAATACCCTATCCCTCTAGCTAATATATACATATATATATATATATATATATTAAGGTTAGTTTATATACATTAGGTGGATAGCTTTAAAGAGATTTTCATGGCGTTGATAGATGGACAAACTTAGCAAAGTTTCTGATGTGACTTTTCTGAAATCTACAGTCAATCTGATTCAACACTGACTATACCCCTACTCTTCGATGGTGGTGTGTAATTGCTCACATATGTGTTGGTGAACGTTTTATGAAGTTATTCTACAAACTTAGCGGTGAGAGAAGGAATATTTATATATTTTATAATAATTTACCATTTTCTACTGCTGGGCAGCAGTTGGTGGTAAATTATGTAATTTTAGGTGACGACTAAAGAAAAAGAAAGAAAATGTAGCCAACAAAACTCCATTGCGTTTAATTGAATACGACGGCTTTTAGTTAAAAGAAAAATTTTCTTAGTCAACCTTTTCTCACTTATATGAACGACTGAAATAAAAAACGACAACAAGCAAATAACAGTAATTTCTTATTTTCAGTTTCTTTCCGCTTTCATTCACTGGCTGTGATGCTGCATAGAATGTTCTTCGTATACGGCCTACAACAAATCCTTATATTCTTTGTTATTTTCATTACAATACCAGGTAAGGTGATGAATTACTTTTTTTAATTTTTAAAACACAAATGTCACTTAGTGCCCTTAGTTCCAACATCTGCTGTAAGCTAAGTTGAATTTGTTGTTCAAAGTCAATTTTAATCATTTGCACATTAATAAGTTTATAAAATCTGTACTCGAAAGCACAAAGGACAACGTTAACGTATATTAGAAAGAAGTCTAATAACATCCCCAGGCCAAATTTTAAGATCATTTGTGTTATATTCTATTCTCTTTCCGACACTCGTAAAAATATGTAAAATGCAAATAAAATGCACATTATTCCCAATTAAATCTTTATTAAATCAAATGCACGTCATTTGGAGAAGCACCCGAGCCAAACGATTTTTACATGTCTCCTTTGAAGTCAACTTTACACCATTACGACAGTTCTCAAAGAGCAAGCAACCAGCAGATGGGCTATACCAGATTTGGTTATAGGATGGATCCGCTAAAACTTGCAGCCAAGCTCCCTGAATATGGAAAGACAAAACTTTCCTTCCAGCAAATTCTTGCGACTTTACTTTAATCGCTCATAATAGAGAGCGGAATCAATCGGCTAGCTTGTAATCCCATCAAACACAAAGTGTTGGTGCTGGCTTTACAAACGTTCGTACTTTGTCGCCCTATGTTTTCCTTCCAAGTGATTCAAAACTGATTTTTAGTCACTGCTTTGTTTCGCACCGTTTTCATAAGAAAAACTGTTTCGGCTTTCGTTATTTTTTTGAAGAACACAGGAGGTATATCCAAGTAGAGGCTGTAGAAACCTTGCAATGTAACCTGGCTCAGTACCAAATTCTGAATGTTCTTGCACGTCTAATACTTACTGTAAATAGGTTAAGTCGTTGAAAGGTCGCATTGGTATTACAACTTAACAGAGGTCTTCCCAGTTCAGAACAAACAAAATATTCTTCATTCATTACTCATAAATTGCTACAAGAGAAATTTATATATAATATAACGCAATTTTGATTTCTATGTTAATGTACACTTTGTTTATAATTCTTAGAATGTTTTTTTTACAAATTATTAACGATTTAATTCTAGTTTCGGTTTTGCTTTTCGGAATATTGCAGTTCAACTCTCTTGATTCGGCTGACTTTATCTTCCGCGAATATTTTTCCTTCATACGGCTTTAGAAGCAAATTAGGAGCACCTAACTTTGTTTGTGTTAATCCCTTTTTTCGCTAAATGGTCTCCTAACTGTCGTTAATGGTTTCGCAAACCGACAGCTGCATGAACCAGGTAAAGCGCCATTAATGTGAGCCTGTTTTTTCCTTGCTCTGGAATTTGGTTTCCTTGAAAGTCGACTAGTTTCACGGAAGCTTGAAGTCGTCAATTGTAGGATTTTCTTAACGATAGTAAGGGAGATTGTATAATATATTTTCAAAAATAGAAAAAGAATGTAGACGATATAGAATATTCGGCCATAGCCGTATATATCTTTTTCAATTAATTAATTTAATTATCTATGGACTATGATTTTTCACACGTAGGCCAGTATGGATTAATCGCGTTAACGTTACGCGCGGTTACGTCATCTGTAGAATCAACTAACCCCAAATATTTTTTCCTTGGCTTAATTTATGGTGGAATTATAAAAATAGAATATCGTATTTCGGAAAAACATATTTAGTATTTCAATATTATTTATTCACAAAAAAATACATTATTGGGTTTGAAATTAATATTTAATACATTTTAGTCTCAGTATTCATTCATTATTGTATTATACATATTATAGAGGTTGTAGGATTCACGTTGATTCACATCCATATAAAATAATTTCCAAGTAATGTTTGTATAAGTTTGTGTCAATTTAACAACTGTTTTGTCTGACCACAATATTAAAAAAGTAGAGAACGAAGAACCTTCCTTTCTTCATTTTTCCGAACGTACTCGTGGTCGTGACTTATCATTAACGCACAAACAAACCAAAAAAGGACGTTCATCGTTGCCTAAGGGCTATCATTAACTTCAGCACAATTTTATTCAGAGTAACGTGTTCCTAACCTATTCCTTCCTCAATCGTCAACGTAGACATCTCTTTGCTGCAATATCGGACTTACATATACAGGCACTGCCAGATGTTGCTTTGTATGCTAATATGGAGAAATAGTAAAACACGAGGAAAATTGTTCCTGAATTGCAGATCGTTGCAATATTCTTTGGGTTGCCCGTTCTCTTTGACGACGCGGCTTTGTACTTTCTTTGCTGATGGAAAAATAGTTGATCCCAAATGACAGGAAGATTCCGGGAAAACTGTAAAGCTACACGGCGATCACATAATTGGCATTGTTGAATTTCTAACGAGGAAAAGTTATTATTATTATAATTTTAGACTAATGAAATAAATTCTTAGATTAAAAAAAAGACATTGAGCACTAGCAACCTATGCTGTCGGCCCTAATTTATATAAATGTACATTAGACATTGAGCCTAGTAGTTTTAATAAAGTAATATATTGAATTGATATTCTCTTCTGAAGCTGATTTTAGAATATCCAAAGTGTTAATCGTTCCAAATGCAATACTTCTAACCAAGGAAAAGTTAAAGCAGTCGCAGAGAATGTGCTTTATAGTGAGAATTTGTCCACAATTGCAGATTGGGGAGAAAGAATTCTTCAAGATCCATTGGTGAGTTGCAATTGTATGACCAAAACGATTCTCGAAAATGTTTGGATCTTGATTTTCTCAACATTTGTTGGATGTAAAGGTGAAGTTAATTAACGGTTAATGAAAGAGTAGTACTCATGATGGTATTGTAGATTTCCTTCTGTAATTTTCTCCTTAACTTTTCCCCCAAAGTATCTTTGAAGATCCAACTTTTCCATGACATCATCCATAATTAGAGGTGCAGAAGCAGCATACTTCACCGCTCAATTAGTCTGTTCGTTTCCCAATAAACCGATATGACTAGGCATTGAAGGTTTTGAGTTAGTTTTTGTGGGAAATGTTCGCAGCGTGAAGGATAGCTCTGGCTTCGATTGTGAAGGTTGAAGTACTTTCGTGAAATATGTGATTGAGAAGAACCTGTCCTGTAGCATCTACCGTGGCACAAGCAGGACGCAGGCCAGAAGATTTTGAGCCGTCTGTGTATAAAAGATTCCAACCAGTACTCTACAATTCTTGGGTTTTTTCAGCTACTAGATTCCTGAAGACGTAATTTGGAGTATCTTCTTTCTTGTGCATAGACAGCGAAATGTCAAAAGAGCACTCTTTCAAAATCCATGGAGATTTAACACCAAAATAGCGGAAAATTTTTAAGGGAATTTCCAATTCCTTTGCGACGTACAAACAATAGTCAATTGCAGATGGTGATTTTTGAATTTTCTTCGCAATAATAATCTTTCTTACGTTATCACCGAGAGTAGATTTGTTTGAATTAAGAAGCTTGGGGACTATTTTGGCTTTTAAGTCATAAAGCTGGGAGACCAGTTTCAATCACAATATTATTTATGGGCGTCGTCCGAAAAGCATAACAACCTGCTCTAAGGGCTCGGTGATAAACCGGTTTAAGAGTGTTGACATTAGATTTGCAGCTGTCGCCTTATATTGTCAAAGCATAGTCAATCTTGGTTAAAACAATCATTTTGGTAAGATAAGCATTAGTGTTAATGTGCGCATGGCGTTTCCAAGCAACGTACTGTATGAAATTTACCCTTGTTAAAATAGAAGTTTTTAACCGAAGACGGTGTGTATTCCAAAGATATTTGTTGGAAAACGTGACCCCGAGAGTATGCAGCGTCTGCACGTTTAGTACTGGTAAGTCATTAATATGGATCAGTAGATTTCCTGCATCGCAAATCTGCTTTCGACAAATGCGTATTTCTTTTGATTTTTGCATAGAAATTTTAGCCCCTGACGAGTTTGCCAATGCGGAGATCTCTCGTCCAATAGATTCGAGGATGTTGATTGCTTTCGTGTTGTCTTTTTCTTTTGTAAAAATGTATACATCGTCCGCGTATAGACAATGTTCCACTCTTGGTATACGGCAAAGGATTTTGCTAGTTTCGTTGAAGGCGATCTGGAAAAGCATGACATAGAGAGGAGATCCTTGCGGAATGCCATTCATTAGCGGAAAGGAATCAGAGAGATGATAGTTGATTCTAACTTTGAACCGGCGATGCGACATGAATGATTTGATGTAGTTGAAGAATTTGGGTCCACCATTCCATGATTTCAAGAGTCTTAAAATAAAATGAAGACCAACTCTGTCAATGTAATTTTTGGTTAATGGTAGAACAGGTTTTTCATTGAAAGGAGTTGGAGTTAAAGGCTTATTCGGATATATTTGCGAGGCGACAGCAGCGTATTACTTTTGTTAATTCTTGGGGTTCCAGATGGTTTAATTTCCTGGTACTTGCGTCGCGATCAAAGGTTAAAATAATCCTTCCTGTAGGAGAGCGAGTTTTTCCGTCGTCATTTAGGTTGGTGAACTTATATACTTCAGTCACTCCTTGATTGCCCATTTCGCGGACAATTTCATTTTCCGCCACATGCTTTAAGCACGGGGGCATGAATTACGCGTCTAACTGAGTTCAGTTTATCATGCAGTTTAGTGGAAATAGCACATAGATTAGCTAAAGATTTCGACTTTATGATGTTTTCAGTTGTGCGCGGGTTCCCAGCGAGGGCAAGTCAATTCCCATCGCGTAAAATCGAGATAGAGTCTCTGTATGTTGTTGCTATCTAGGGCTTCTTTTATAGCAAAAGGGCTATTTTGGGAAATCGTTACGCTAGCATCAGTAGAAGAAACAACAATAGATTTTTTGTCAATAGGAGTTATGTCACTGAATGGCCGGAAAGTCTGATTTTTTAATTTTTTTTCTTTATGGGGATGTGTCAGCTAATAGATGAAATCTATTCGAACTTTTATCTGGCGGCCCCGGGGTCATTATGCCTCACTTGAAAAGGTTTGGGAACTATTGAGGATAAAGACAATTGCTTTCAATATTTTATTTTTCTTTTTTGTTTTGATTTTTTTTAT